ATGGTTACACAAGCCAACACATCGTTATGACATCATCAAGTGGCCAAAATCTGATCAGCTCATTTTCAGACAGGTTTTTATATAAATGGATCAGGACAAAAAGAGAGAGAATCTTTGTTCCTGAAACTGTCAGAGTCTCTTTCCAAAGAGGGGACACATGTTGATGCAGAAGAGACATGAAGAAGAGGGGACACATGTTGATGTAGAGAGAGACATGAAGAAGAGGGGACACATGTTGATGTAGAAGAGGGGACACATGTTGATGTAGAAGAGACATGAAGAAGAGGGGACACATGTTGATGTAGAAGAGACATGAAGAAGAGGGGACACATGTTGATGTAGAAGAGACATGAAGAAGAGGGGACACATGTTGATGTAGAAGAGACATGAAGAAGAGGGGACACATGTTGATGTAGAAGAGACATGAAGAAGAGGGGACACATGTTGATGTAGAAGAGACATGAAGAAGAGGGGACACATGTTGATGTAGAAGAGACATGAAGAAGAGGGGACACATGTTGATGTAGAAGAGACATGAAGAAGAGGGGACACATGTTGATGTAGAAGAGACATGAACAAGTGGATTTTGAATAATAGGTGACCTTTAAGAGATGGATTTTAATGGTCAGTAACTGAGCGCTCACCTTGTTGTCTCTTCTCCCCCGAATCTTCAGGTTGTCCTCCAGCAGCAGCTTACGGACCGCCTGGGGACCGACGCCTCTGATGGGGCACGTGAGGTCAAACTGGCAGAACTTTTGGACATGCTGCGAGTAGAAAAACATGTTTGAGGTGTAATAGGAATACATAACGTTCAGCTTAGTTCAGGAAAGGGAAACAATGATATGTTACCTTGTCTATGTCTTCATTGATTCCCTCCACCTCGTACCCCTCCACCCGCTGAGCGGAGATGCTGAGAGCGAGTTCCTCGTCTTTCCGCTTCAGGTAGTCATTGATGCTCTCCAAGAAAGTGTTCACACCGGATAACTGTAGAGGAGCATGGGAAGATGGAGATTGAATGTGCTAATTCAAGAGGGAATATACAGGAAATAGAAAAGGCTTGAGTTTAACCTCAAACTTTACCCAGGCTAATTCGATATGACACTCATTTCAGATATAGATGACATCTGGTTTCACTTCTGAGCCACAACGTACGCTTTTTGTGCTATGCCTTTTAAAAGCTAATACAAGTTTTGGATGCATTGATATGTGGAAATTCTGATATTAAAGGAACCCCGGTTTCAAAAGGGAAGATAAGCCTTTTTTTTAGCCTTGTCATATTTGGAACATTTCTTTAGAAAATGTCACTGCTGCTGTCAGGATATTTTGAGCAGGTTATTTAATGATTATCTTGAAGTGAGAAGCATTGCTCGTCAGTAGGAGTTTTGCTGCTTAGCATAACAAAAGAAATGTCGCTGAATTGAACAGCGTTGATATTTTAAAAGTTCATATTTTACTCCTTATTCAGGAGGGAATATATTTAGAAAATATTTTACCTTAAGCTAACTTTACCGCGGCTAATTCATTATGAATGGTTACATGATTGTATAAATACATAACTTAAAGATATCGAGGACACTGAGAGAAGGAGGCCCTTTTGTATCTGAGTGCATAAAGGGGTAAATTGAACATTTACACTTTAACATACAAGATCTGTTTTTTTATTCCAGCTATTCCACTCCGTATTCACAAAGTTTTCAATCTAACAACAACAACATGTTGATATTGAGAGAGAAAGAATAGGCATTGACCTACTTCAGCTACTGCTTTAAATTAAAGATATCCTTTGAGATGACTTTACTAAATCTCATGGGATGGGTGATCAGGTGACATTGATGGGGTTTCTCACCATGCCTCTGAGTGTGTGCTGCACATGAGGGTCCTGCGTGTTCTTCAGCACGGCTTTGAGCAGCAGAGGATACTTGGTGATCCTCTGGTGGGGTTTGGCCTGCATGTCCCCGAGACGCATCCGCTCACACTTAGGGTGAGTCTCCACCCACTGCGGGAAGCACAGGAACAGGCCTGAGGTCAGTGACTCTGATTGCAACTTGTTTAATTATAAAGAATGTGCATTTGACAGGTCTTCATTGAAGGGGTTAGTTCACCTAACACCAGTGTACTTTCGTGGCTCATTCTTCGTAGTATATTTAAAAAACTGTGCACCATTAACATCGCTCCGCTTCTTGACTCACATGTTAAAACCGTCCAAACATTTTTGCCGCTGATTTCTTTGCCTTCCTTTGGCTGATTTATTTACTTCTTCCGTAAAATTAAACAAACAAATAAACAAAAATGATCATTGTAACATGAGTCCAAATACTGTACCGATTCCCCGTTCTGTGTTGAAGACAATTTCAATTACAGCTGTTCATCTAATCAGAATATTTAACTAACTACAAATTCATAAATCAAAAGAATATATTAAGTCCTAAATTAATTAGAACATTGTCATTAGTAATCAACCCAAAAAAGGCTCTAACATCTTCAGTAACCGAAATACTCAGAGAAGTTTGGTTTGAAGTACTTCCTAATTCAAAATAAGTAAGTAGTTTCTAATTACTTAATAACATCTTTGCTGTGTGGTCTGTGGATTCATCTGATGACACACAGCATTATCTTCTATTAACATCTGCAGTATTTAGTTTGTTGTTGTTTATTTAATTGTTAATTCAGCAGGGGTCTAGTTCAATATATTCGATCAGTGGTGAAAGACTAAAATCTGAGAGCTTTAAAAGATAAAACCATATCTATCAACCCTAACCAACTAAAACTCCCTCAGGGGCCGAGTGAGATGTTTTTGTTTTGTTAGATTTGGATGAGCGGACCCTTTTCAACGCCCACCACGTTTCCTGCTAAATGTCTCTTTTAGTGTTAAACTCAAATATATCACCTCCCACTCGGGGTAACAAGTGTGGTCGTATGACATAAGTGAAACAGCAAGTGTTAAATAAACACATGTATACAGTAAAGGCCAAGTTTCCATGATCAAAATGCTGATTTTATTTTTCCAGGGGCTGTTTGTTTACGCACTTCATAATTTATATACCCTTTGTTCATAGTCGTTTTTAGTAGTAGTGGTATTCTGATTTATTCTGTACATTGTTATTGTGCCCTATATATATTTTTATATTGTTAATATGAATATTATTTACTGTTTAGGTTTAATTTCACATGTTATTCATGTGCAATGCCTTGTGTACATGCTGCTGTAACTAAACAATTTCCCAATTTGGCATCGATTAAGTTTGTCTGATCTAATCCTATCTTATATTTCAGTAACTATTCCTATATATGTCCTGTGCTCAGTGGTGTGAGCAAGAAATCATGTAAGGCTTTGTTCAATGTAAATGTATTTTTATTTTACTAGAGTGTTCTTAAAATAGTTCTCTCCCTGTGTTTTTGAATTTTTGTTTTACTTTTATGTATGCACCACGACACCACGTCAAATTCCTCGTACGTGTCAACCTACCTGGTTGTGAGGGAATAATTCTTCCTTACTCCTAAGATATTTAACCTTATTGCCTGTTGACGTTCACGACCAAACCCTGGCTCTGTTATTTCTCTTAAGGAACGGGAGGCTCCAGCTATCTTGATAAACCAGTTCAACTCTCAGTCAAAAAATGGTTTACGGCTGTGGGAACGCTGGCTTTCTAAGCTCCACAGATGTTTACGCCTCCCCCAATATGCTCATTAACTCTCTGTGAACTAGTTAAAAGGTCTATCGAGAGATAGGCTGATCAGAATTGACATGACAACCCACCCGTGCAGTCAGAACCTTTTGCTGCTGTGACTTGTGATATGAATTCTCCGGCCATTTGACTTGTAATAAACATCATTGTTTGAAATCAAAGCTCCAACTCTCCTCGTGTCTCTCTGAGTCCTGACTCTCCATTGCTGCAGAAGTTTCCCTTACACTGGTGATAAACCTGACTCTGATTCTGAATAAGTCTGATCAATCATTTGGAGAAAAATGTTGGTGTGAAAAGTGTTTGCGCCCACGACGTTATGAAACAATTCAAACTACACAGCGTCACCTTTAATAACACAGCTGTTAGTCATTGCATGGAATCTCAATCATGTTGCACTCACTGTTAATAATGAGGTTTGTGTGGGAGAGAATGTGTGTGTGTGTGTGTGTGTGTGTGTGTGTGTGTGTGTGTGTGTGTGTGTGTGTGTGTGTGTGTGTGTGTGTGTGTGTGTGTGTGTGTGTGTGTGTGTGTGATGCTCAGGGTGGCTCAGTCTGTCGGGACCCTGCCTAGCACCCTCATTGAGTTTGATCATGAAAGCAAAATACAATACAATTTTGTGAATATAAAGTGTTAAGGCTGGTAGATGACAATTTATGTTTTCATCTTTTCTTTGAGTTCATTTTGTTTGCATAATGATTTTGATAAAAAAAGAAGATAATACAAAAAAAAAGGGACTCGGCCTGGGAACCAAAGGGTCGCCGGTTCTCATTCCGATTGGACCAAAAGTAATAAGAAGTGTGGACTGGAAGCTGGAGAGGTGCCAGTTCCCTTGAGCAAGGCACCGAACCCCCAAGTGCTCTGGACGCCAGTTCTGCCACCTTTCCTGTCCTGCATGTGGTTCTGTTTGTGCACGTGTATCCTCTGCACTGTATATCAAGCCTGTGTGTGTACATGTGTAAACACAACAGAGTGATATGAGTCATTTTCCTTTGGGGACTCATACAGTATGTTTTCTTCTCACCTGGACGAAGGTGTGGAAGTGTGGGTTGCTCTCCATCTGCCTGCGTGTGAACTCCAGGTTGTTCTCCTCCTCCCAACAGTAGTGCTGATAGGAGAAGAAGCGCTCAGGGAACTGGAGACAAACAAAAAGAGGATTATCAATTGGTAATGTGAGAAAAACACCATTACATATATTTACCAACCTACTAACTAACTTACTTTCTTACTTACTTACTCACTATCTTACTTTTTTACTTACTTACTAACTAACTTACTTTCTTACTAACTAACTTACTTACTTACTTATTTATGTTGATTTAATCTTTAAGCTAACATTGAAAGTGAGTAATTCCTGCATTCAAAATGTTACCAATACAGGGTCACTGCATGTGTTAAAAAGACACACAAACCTCTGACCAAACTGAGGACAAGTTGCATTGTGGGTAAAGTATGTAGAAAGAAAAAGAGTATATGGAATAAAAAAGAAGATTTCTCGGGTTCTGCTTGAATTTAGATGTTTTTTTGTATTAAAAACTGTCCATTAATGTCAGTGCAATGTCAAACACACGTACTCTCTTAGTTATATGAATTTCCCGGGACTGATTTGTGGATTTATTACAATCAGCATGACTCTTACGAGGTCCTATGAGAAAAAAAACCCAAAGATCACTTCAAATGTATTTTGAAGTGTAGAGACTCGAGACCCTTTTTAAACGGAAATCTGTGACATCAAAAGAAAAACCAAAATCTAGTTTAGAGCAGAGGAAATTACTCAGAATACTGGTGGCTGCTTTGGAAATTTCTACCGAATAAATGTCTGAAGAATTGAACAGGTGTCAACTTTTAACCTGTTAAGCCCGGCAGCCCCCGCCGCTTTTTTTTCACGAAACTGTGTCTCAAGGCTTTTAACATTTAACAACCTATTAATGTGTCATACCCACTTAACTGGGAGAAACTCAGCTAACTGACGATATGAAAAATGTTTAGCTAAACGAAACACAAGGGTAAGACCAAGCCTCTGAATTAGCACTAAGCGAAAGAATGCTAACGCACTTAGCACAGAACTCACGGTAGAAATATTGTACTACTTGTCGGATCTGCACAAACAAGATATCAGCTAGAAAGCTGAGATTCCACAGATTCCGGCAAATACATCTGTTTTCTGATCAAAAGTTGTGTTCAATGGCATTAAAACGCATAAAACGCAGCTGAAGGTTAATCCAATGTGTCTGTGTCACTTTGAAATGATTACTGATAATCCATCTTAACATTTTTGTCAAAAACTGAGATTTCATATTAGCTGCTATGAGAGCTACAACCCAGCTTCCGGTTTTGGGCATTCTGGCTGCGCATCACTCATTCACCAATGGGTAATGTTTAGGTGGATTTAGGAACTTCCCCTCGATTCTATTGGCTCTAACGGTTAAAAAGAGATGTCAATCATCAAAATCGACCGCGGGGGGCCAGAGATATGGCAAATCCACCCAAATGACCCCAGAAGTGGGTTTCTTTTGCTAAATCTCTCTAAAAAAATGTCAAATGTCACTTGTTTTGCATCAATCTTGATACAGGGTACTTATTATATGTTATAGTTTGGATTCCTAAAGTTTTTAGTCTACTATCCCATCCTTCAAGGGTGGTTTTCACTATAAGTAATGTCTTTCTTTTGGACGGACACTATAATTTAATTTGTTTTACTATGTTCAATCGGAATTTACTTTAAAATAAAAAAATCTATATTGATTCTGACTTTTCTACATCCAACTCACAGGTTTATCATTGCTTTGAGAAAAAAGATTATTAATTTACCCCCTTTAGAAGTGAAGTTATGGTCATTTGTTCTGGGAATGTCATTTTGGAGCCTGAGGCCTGAACAACAGGCTCAGGGCTCAACTGGTTAAACTTTTTATATAATAGAGAGAATTACTCACAGTGTGGGTACATTATTATTAATAACTATTAAAGGAAGGAAGAAGAGATTATGGAATAAAAAAGAATATGTATCTCTGCTGACTGTATAAGATTTCGTAAGAAAATACATAACTGTTCATGTATTTTGAAGGCGCTCGGTGACCCCTTTTTTGACGGAAATCCATCACATCAACAGAAAAATTCATTATAGTTTTGAGCTGATGTACCTGAGGAAACTGGAGGGGAACCTGGTGGTTGGTTTGAAATGTTTAACTAAGTAATATCTGAAGAAATGAAATGTTTTGACGTGTTTATATTTTTATGTAATAGAGAACATTTCTCACATCTTCAACAAGTATTACTATGAAGTGCTTCTACCAGACTCTTGTTTAAAGTGGACCTATCATGCTATATTTGAATAATATATTGTAGGACCATACCTATATAAGGCATATTTATACTTTTTATTTTTCAAAATTACCAAACAGATCATGCATTTTAGGCCATTCCTCATTCACTCAATTGAACACGCTGTCTTTGCATGGGCTGATTCTGCTGGAGGAACAGCACCTTCGTACAGGAATGGCATATGCCTACTACAGCGTCTCCAGCCCGCTTTCCAACGGCAATGCTCCGCTGGCTGTCTCCTTCCTGATTGGTGGAGTGGCCCAATAAGCCGTACGCCACTTCTGTGACGTCATAGAAGTGTTCAAATCTGGATCAGTCTGTTACAGGATCCGGTTGCAACCCCTTTTTAAGAGATTTGGGTATGGGAGGAAAAGAGAGAGGTTGTGTTTTCTGCAACTTTTGTGAGTTCCCTGGAACACCGCGGGACACCATATTCATGTATAAAAGACGTACAAAAGTGCATTTGGGCATGATAGTCTCACCTTTAAAATAAACGTCATAAAAACACCTCCAATGTATTTATTTGAATTTCCTTTTATATTACCAAACTTAATCCTTTTCTTTCTTTTCCGGATGTTAGAAAGATTGTTGTGTTCATATATGTTGAGGATTTTGTTTTGTGTTTATTTACTTTAAGGGTCAATTACAAAGTGTATTGGCAAGAAAAAAACGACTTTAGTGGGTAAAAGTCATAACCTGGTTATCAAGAAACATTTAATTGTCAAAACATGTTCATTATGAGTAGAATACACCTGTGGGAGTTAAATTTAGTGCATAGTGTACTATTTTATTTCTGATTCTCTACTATGATAGATGGCCTCTAGGTACATTTTACAAATTGACATGCCCATAAAGGTGATTGGAAATCTGATCGTTGCACCAGAGTTGGGAAGTAGTGGAGTTACAAATACTTCGTTACTGTCTTACACGTTTCTGTATCAGTCAGCCTTACTTTACTCCATGACTTATTTTTCTGACGACTTTTTTACTTTTAGTTCTTACATTTGAACTCAAATACCTGTACTTTCTACTTCTTACATGTTGAACACATTTCTACTTCTTACATGTTGAACACAAATACCTGTACTTTCTACTTCTCACATGTTGAACACAAATACCTGTACTTTCTACTTCTTCACATTTTCCAAACAGGCTGTTTCCTTTAGTTTGAATGTGTGTTTGGTGGCGTGATCATTATTATTTAGAGTCATTGCGTGCCTATTGATTTGAACACGATCCGTGTATCCATCATTTCCTGGTCTTCTCTAAAGAAGAGGGACCAATGAAAACGTTGTCATGTTGCCGTTGTTCAACATGGAAACATTCATTAGCTAACAATGACATTATTGTTCTATTAATATAAAGGGAGGTCAGGTACTCTTTAAAACAGCTGTTAGTTATGGGTACTTTTTACTGAAGTACATTTCAAAGCCTCTTTACTTTGACTTGAGTAAAGAAGTTTAGTCAGTACTTCTACTTTCACCAAAGTATTTTAAACACGAGTATCTGTACTTATTGAGTAAAGGATGTGTGTACGTTTGCCATCTGTGATCTGCAACTGAAACACACGAGTAAATAAAGTAAACTTTGAGTAAATTCTGTCAGGCTGAAACACACCTCAGGCTGAATGTGTTGCTAATCAGACAGTTCCTACCTGCAGGCAGCCGGCCTCTAACACCAGGGGGTCGAAGGGCTTCCCTGTCCTCCGGACCTCCTGCAGCATCGGGTAAATCACTTCCTGCCACAACAGCTGGTGAGCGGAGAGGACGGAGCAGAGGTTTGAGAAGAGCAGCTTGGGGGTCACCTGTCAAGATTCAAGGCTTTTATTGTTATTTGTGCAAAGCTACAGTGTAGAAATGACAATGGAAATCTTAGGTCACAGGCATAAAATAGTGCAAGTAAAACAATAAATAATAGAAATAGTGCAGAATAGGCTATATACAAGTCACAGGAGGAGGTCAGGGTTAACGTTGCATCACTCAAATAGTTTTTATATGGCCCAATATCACAAATTATACTTTTGTCTCAGGGGGTTTTACAGTGTGTACAGCTTACAACACCCTCTGTCCTTAGATTTTAAGATAAGATAAGATGAGCTTCATCAACCCCCTCGGGGAAATTCAGTGGTTTAAACAGCAGCAGGGTAAGGATGAAAAACAGGACAGCACAGATTCACACAGATTAATACAATTAAAAATCAAATCAAAGATAAAATAAGAAATGAATTCAAATGTTCCCAGCAGACAAGGACAAACTCCCAAGAAACACACAAATAAAATGGAAATGATGTTAGAAACCCAGTGGAAGGCAACAGAGGAGAGAAACAGATGTGAAGTAGATTTTTTTAAACTCAGCTGTTTTGAGATTTTTTTCTGTCTTCTCAATGGAAATCTAATGTTGAGCTACTTTTTCCACTTGAGTGTTTTATTCTGTGTGAGCTACAGCGGATGTCCTGTTGTGCCAGTTAATGTATGTCAATGGCATGCAGATGAGGGGAAACAGGTGCTGGTGGAATAAGTGCTCATACCCTGTACTTAAGTCAAAGTTAAAGTACTCCATTAGGCCTACAAGTACAAGTCCTGTATTTATATTGTTAGCATAGTTAAAGTAGAATGGTCTCAAAGTATTATATTATTGTAGATTATTATATTTTTCTGCTTTTATCACCAACAAATGCATGTAGAGCACGTTGTGATGAAACTAATTGTGTATACCAGATTAGTAGTTCTGCACCATAACAAATCATCACACTAGTATTCGACAAGGAAGAAGTATTAAATGAGAATTTTAAAGACTTGTTGTGGAGTAAATCTGTCTCTGAAATAGAATGGAGGAGAAACAAATAGTAGCTTTAAATTGAGGAACTTAAGAAGATTAAAATGGATGGCACTTATAGTACTTGTGTATTTTCTTAGATCATATTTAACCAGGTAGTATATATCCTACACAAGCACAGTGCATTGAACACATCAGTGGTTGTTTGTTTACTTCACTTAAACAAAATAGCCAAAGATGAACTTAAAGTCAGTGCTCAGCTTCAAATGACAATGTTAAAAATGCAGAAAAAGCCCAGAAATCTACGTGTTGTCACATAAGGACAATTACCAAGTCCGCCTACACTCTTAGAAGTAATGTGTCATTTTTTTAACACACTGCTGTGTCAAAGGCAATTCAACACATTCAGTGTCATTTCTGAAGCATTTTACACACATGTGTAAAATAAAAATGCACATAGTCAACACATTAGTGTGTCCACTGTCCTGCCCAATCACGGTTGAGTTATTTCAAATGTATCATTTTTCAACTGTCCATCAAATATCCAAACTGCCCTTTTCACCTCTGGCTGCTGTGGAGGATGGATGTGCCAGCGGAGGAGAGTCTAAGGTAAGCTATTACAGAAACAAAACGTTTTTAACAAAGTGAGCAGATATTGTCATAATGTGAGCAAGCTAGGGGTCTAAATAAATATGTTTTAACTTAAATAAATATGTTTTGCCAATGTTGAACAGCTAAATATTGTTTGAGTTTAGCTGCCTGGATGACAATTATTTTCCTTTACTTTGAGCACATACGGCATCAACCACCTCTCAGACTCTTGAAAGAACCCATGAATGTATCTTCAATCTTTCCATAACCTCACACTGAACATAGACCTGCAGGTTAGGTGTTAGTGTTTGTTTCCAGTGTAGATAATAAGCAGGCTCTTCAGACTGACCTCAGGGAGGAATCCATACTGCTGCAGGTTGAAAAGAGCTGCGATCACCACCTGTGAGAAACACACACAGCGTAGTTAAACATGGGGCGGGGCTCTGCATAAACACAACAGCTGTTTGAATTGCTGTGGGTAGAGAACGGGACATTACATCCTTGATGATGATGAGCTTGTTGATGTAGGTGAGCTCAGTGTGGACAAACTCCCACAGCGCCTCCTGCTGGTGTCTCTGCATCTTAGACATGGTCTGATATTAAAACAACAAGGAAGGAGAGAGAGGAGGGAAAGGAGAACATAATTAACGATGATGAGGAGGATGTTCGGAGAAACATTTCAATTGTGTTTTCTATTGTCCACACATTAAATAAAAAAGGATATCTCTCAATCTTTTCCCACTTCCCTAGCTTGTCTGCTATAGATTTAAATGTTATAACAAGTCATAAAAATGTAATTTAAAAGGTAGTTTATAGAGTATTTGTTGGGAACGATCAGCAGCAGATGGGCTCTTGTGAGTATTAACAGCAGCAGCAGCAGAATGGTTTATGTGGGATATAATGCCTATCATGGTGAAGAAGGAACATGTCACCCAGTGCATATTAAATAAAAGTGTAGCACTTGAAAATGTTTGGCTTCTTTAAAGCTAATGCACTTGCAGGAATCTTCATCTCCTGAATGTGTTGATTACACTGTAAATAGTGTTGGATAAAAGCTTAATCTAAATGAAATATAATGTAACAGTCTGGCTGATTTATGTGTTGTTTTTGTACAGCTTTGCACACCGGCTGAGCCCTAATCACACTATGAATCAACAGCTCTGAGCGGACCAATTCCTTGTTGGTGTTTGCCTTTTCTTTGGATGTGTTGACAGTAAGGGAAACACAGTTAACTAATGAGTTAAGGGTGCTTACTGAGTGAGAGTGCACTATATCAGTCCAGTTTTTCTCCAGCGTGGTTCCCTGACTTTCCTCCTTCCATCTCCACTTCAGATCCACCGGCACGGCGAAGGCCCCGAGAGCCTGCTTCAACCCGTCCAGCTGACCCTTCTCCTGAGGTCAGAAAACACCGGGAGGAGGAAGGATTGGTGTTAGAAAAATATCACTGGTCCCCGGCTTGAGCTTCAATCTCAGGATCCATGTATTTGTGATCCTCTCCAGAATGGAAGTAGTCATCACACACAGAGCATCAACTAGTTCCTGAACAGTGTCCTTCACATGCTGATATCCAAGAGAGGGAGTTACACAGTCACAAGATGGAGGAATACCGGGTCTTGTAGGTAATCATACATCCTGTCATGTACAACATACTGAGTTGTTTCTCAAAATGTTGACTTCTTCTGAAAATCTCAAAAATCTGACTTTCTCTCAAAATTCGGACTTTTTCTCAAAATTCCGATTTTTTTCTCAAAATCTCAAAATCCTGAGGAGGGAAGCTGATTGTTTCCCCAAAAATTGACTTTTTCTCAAAATTCTGCAGTATTCAATGTTTAGTTTTAGATTAAGTCCACGTCAGAAATGATCATGCTTGTTATATGTTCTCTCTCCATACGGGCTGAATCATCATGTTAATCAAATAGTCTATTCATATGCCTCAAACAGTCCTGATGCTCTTCTAGGTAATCACACATCCTGTCATGCACTCAGCTACAGTTGGGATACTTTTGTTATCATGTGGACTCTCATATTGGAAGAGTACATTCAGTATTCTCCCAACAATTGTGGTCTAATGGATAGTGAGGTGGGGAGAAGATCAGAAGGTTGTGAGTTCAAATCCCGCCAGGAACACCACCACTAGTGTGCCCTTGAGTAAGGCACTTAGCCCTTAGTTACTCCAGGGAGAATGTCNGTGTGCCTTGGCAGTCTGATAGTGAGGTGGGGAGAAGATCAGAAGGTTGTGAGTTCAAATCCCGCCAGGAACACCACCACTAGTGTGCCCTTGAGTAAGGCACTTAGCCCTTAGTTACTCCAGGGAGAATGTCTCTGTAATTGTTAATTGTAAGTGGCTTTGGATAAAAGTGTCAGCTAAATGTAATTGGAGAAAAAGTAAGGGGGAGAAATGGAAAACTTGTCATTATGAATCAGTGTAAATGCTTGCAGTCAGTCAGACATAACGTGCCAACAGAGTGGAACAAGCTGCTGTATTTTCCGTTGTTTGAATGGGCAGACTCGGCTAAAGCAAGTCTGTATCTGTTTTCTGAGCGCGTCAGCATGCAGACAATACGTTACCTCTGGGTTCTTCTCCGACACTCCCTGGTTGAACACTTTACTCAGCGTTGCTCGGGGTTTGGCTCCTGCAGAAGTTCCTTTGCTCACTGTGGAAAAGTCCGTCACCACCTTCTGCTTGGTCTGCCGCTAAGGAGGGAAGATAGACCAAAGTACCAGAGGATTAAACACAATACGAAGAGCATACCAACAATCTTTCAATATCGTGCATGAGACAATGCAACTCTCACTGTTACTGAAAAACAGAATTCCTTTGAATTTCCTAGTTTTTTAACACTTTATACTGAATGTAAAAATATTCCATTGCAAGTCAAAAGTCCTGCATTTGAAATTCCTCTTAGGTAAAAGTGTTTTATCAAAATCTCCTTAAAGGTGGGGTAGGTACGTTTGAGAAACCGGCTCGAGAAACACTTTTTGTTACATTCCATGGAATGCTCTTAACATCCCGATAGCAATGAATATCTGAAGTGCTTTGACAAGAATAAATCCATCTGTAGAAGCCGTAGTACTGTAAAAAGCACGACCAATCATCTGAGCCGGCCCGGCTAAAGTAACTGGATGGCCTACCTGCCTGTCAGCCTTCCTTCTGTGCACAAACTTATCTCGTGCCCTCATTGGTCATGTGCGCGTTCGTGTGTGTTGGAGGAGGGGCTCTGTAAGGAAGTGGCAGATTTTCTCCGGTCGTGTATTTTCTAATTCTAGCGCACTCGAGCTGGTTTCTCAAATTGACATACCCCACCTTTAAAGTAACACAAGTAAAAGCACTTGTTTGCATTAATGTGTATCAGTATTTGTGTTTTAGTTGTGTGTATTACTTGTGTTTATTAGACTTTGATGCCTGTAACTGAGTGCCTGACAAAAATACTCATACTACTTATATCAGATATTAGAAACTGCACACTCCTATAATGTATAACGTGTCCTATGTGTTTATATATGAATCTGAAATGGGTTTTCACCCATAATGAGTATTTTTACTTTGGGTCAAGTATATTTTTAATGACAATACTTTTTGGTAAGTAAGATTTTGAATGCAGGACTTTTACTTATAACAGAGTATTTAAACATGAGTATTGCAAGTTAAATATCTGTTTACTTCTTTCAACACCGCGTCAATGACATTTCTTGTTTCTGCACCATTTACTTGTTATATCATTATAAATTATTCAACTTAACAACAAAGCAGCAACGAGCCAAGCCTCAAACGTTGAATGAATTAACAGATCTGAGTACTTCCTCCACCAAGAGTCACCCTGCTGAAACAGGAAGTGGCCTCCACCCTCACATTTCAATTCAAATGTATTTATATAGCCCAATATCACAAATCACATTCGTCTCAGAGGGCTTCACAAATCAACAAACACGAATGATAATGTTAAAACAAACAACATATCTGAGAATATGGCAAAATGACAAGATAAATGTGGAAATACCAATGAATGGGTAAAAAACAAAATGACACAAATACAATAATTACAATTCTATAAAAGGAAGGATCCATGAGGATGTTTAAAAGGGAGTTTAAACCCAGTCCTAACTGTACGCTGTGCTAAAGAGGAAAGTCTCCTTCACTTGCCTGATATCCGGTTGTGTTGAACTTGTGTTTGTTTGCTGACCCCCTGTGGTTAACCCCTGCTGTGATCACATCAACATCTGGATCTCTGCTGTCTGCCTCCCTCTCCCCGTCCACTGCGTCTCTCCACGGCCCCGAGGCGTCCTCCATCAGAGCCTCATTTCCTCCACCGTTGTTTACATACGGTGCCTTTGAGGAAAGGCTGAGGACAAACACAGGGTTACTCATTACCAGGAAAAGGTGTGTGTGAGGGCAGAGGAGAATATTTATAAACAAGACAAATCTTTACAAGAGTGGAGGACGTAATGAGAGACATTGTGTGCTTTGTTTTCTTTTTAAAAAGGTGCACTTAGAATTTCTATTCAGGGCGAACTCTATGTGTATTGGAACAAAGAGAAGCTGAATCATGAGAAATTATAGGATTAGCTAAGACCTTTTTGGCTTCTGACCACTTACAATTAAGCATGTTTTAGGTATATCTGCTTGTCACCTGTTTCATGTGTCGACTGGATGTAAACAGCTCAAACAAAGATCGTTTTGAGGTGATTTGATGTTGATCTTTGTAGAGAATAGTATGTCAAAATGGATATCCTAAGCTACTTTGCAAAACCACAACATTAGCTTTCAAATGCATAAAACTGAAGAAGAAAATACACACAAAACAAGTAATGATACAACAAACACCACATCATTCGTTACTACAGAAGTGATTATTTTAAAAACTGCTTCAACTCGAGATTGAATGAATGACGTTTGAGTAAGTACTGACTAAACTCCAGTAGAAGTACATATACTCGTGTTTAAAAATACTCTGGTGAAAGTAGAAGTACTGACTAAACTTCTTTACTCAAGTCAAAGTAAAGAGGGCTTTGAAATGTACTTCAGTAAAAAGTACCCATAACTAGCAGCTGTTTTAAAGAGTACCTGACCTCCCTTTATATTAATAGAACAATAATGTCATTTTTAGCTAATGAATGTTTCCATGCTGAACAACGGGACAACGTTTTCATTGGTCCCTCTTCTTTAGAGAAGACCAGGAAATGATGGATACACGGATCGTGTTCAAATCAATAGGCTACCTTTAACGTAAAATAACATGATACGCTTTTTCGACATGTGGCAGTATTGCACTAACTCTTGGTAATTAGTTCATTTTGCACTAGTATTTTATTCTACAATAACTTACAATAGCTCAACTTTGACAAACTAAAGAATTATAATAATATATAACAACACAAATAGAACTTTTACTTGAGTAACACTTTCAATTCAGAGCTTTCACTACCACAATATTTTCATTTCCCTTAAGTAAAGGATGTCAGTTCTTCACACACCACTGTATATGTATACGCAGTAAATACCGGTCAGGTAACCAGGCAGTAAAGCAGCAGAAAGTGTAGCATCTCAGTGACAGTCAGTGACACCAGAAGTCTCACACACTTCAGCTCCAGTTACACAGTAATGCGGGTGTGAGTGTTACACAAGGACTCATCTGACATTAGTTCCCACAAATCCCACAGCATCATTACAATCTGAAGTATTTCCTGCTGCAGAGTTGAGTTACTTCGAAGAATGTGTCTCAATTCTCTGGAAGCTTCTTTGCCTCAATCAGATATGTAACCATTTACTCATAAGAGAAGAGACATTTATATAAACTGCTGTTGCTAAACGAAAAGCAGGAGTGAGTGTTATTAAAGTGGACTGTGTGATCACTGTTGAAACTGGTGTTCAAAATCATATCCATGTTTGTTAGAAGAATGAAAGCAAACGCAGTCACATGAGCAAACACAGAGAGGATCACTTCTGTTCAACATCAAACACGAGAGCTTTTCTCACAGTGTCATACCTGTTTACAATCACTGTCTGTTTCCCACAGTAACACACTCAAGATGAGGAGATTATATAGCAATTGCAGCACTTTAAACCACTTAAAGAATGATTAAGGGTCAGTAAAAACCGGCCTCCTGGTAGCTTTATAGCCTCAGTGAAACAACAACAAATGTATCTCATTATGTGATTACCTGAAGTGAACACATAAACATTACACGCTCACATCTCAAAACCACCAGCAATTATTATTTAATTAAAACAAATGATAGACTGTACCTGGGCTTGGTTGGATCCATTTTGTTTCACACAGTCATCTTTGGTTTCTATAAGTTTTCTCCTCCTTCTCTCCGTTTGATCGGTTCCTCCCTCTCTTTTCCTTTCACCTGCAACATGCCCTCTGCAACTGGCCCGACGGGAACAACCTGATTCTGCAGCCGACAAATCAGCGCTCAGGGCCGGTTAATGTTTCGCAGTTAGTGAGGAGGAGGTACCTGGCTTTCTTTAAATATGATTGTTGTTGCACGTCAATCAGACGTATTGATACCCCTGGGCAAACGTTAGGAAACCGTTTCAAGCAGGGGATTAGGGAGGCGTGTGGCGCAGTGGGTTATTCGTTAGTGTTCGGATCAGGGGGTCCAAGGTTCAAACCCCACTGCAGTCAGCATGTCGTTGTGTCCCTGCCTGGGCAAGACACTTCACCCCGAATTGCTCCTGTGATGATTGACCACAGTATTGAATGTGTAAGTCGCTTCGGATAAAAGCGTCTAACAAGTAACATGTAATGATTAACAGTCTTAAGCAGCAGGGTTTTCTTTTTCTGCACAACTGGAAATGACGCATTGATATGAACTTGAGAATCTGGTGTTTGATAGTAGGCTACAGTAAAAGGAAAGTAGAGCAGTGATCGCAGGTAATATGAGGAGAGTTATAGGGAAGTGGGCGAGCTTAATAAAGGTTGATACAAAACAGAATAAACGGTGGAATATGTAGCATTCATTACAAAAGTTATTCAATATATAACACTCCATTTACAAAAGTAAATAAGTTGTGATGCATTCATGTGGAAGCAGCAATATGTTGGAGTATTGAAGTTATTATATTTGCACAACTCTCAATCATATCAGACATTAGTGACCATTATTGCATCCAGAAGCCTCATTTTTAGAATTAACAATAACTTTTTTTAATGTTATTTTTCATTAAGGAGTGTCTGCATCTTAAAAAAAAGATATTTAAGCAATATCGTTAAACAGTTAAGCCATGCATAAGTTGATTAGAAAAACAAGTTGATTTGTGTTGAGGTTATCTTGGGATGCAGACCGTCAGCATGCCTGAGGTTAAACACACACTTACATCCCAAGTTCACACACACACACCCCCCCAAGTGTGTGTACACGCACACACACACGCACACACACACATCCCAAGTTCACACACACACACACACCCCCCAAGTGTGTGTACACGCACACACACATCCCAAGTTCACACACGCACACACACATCCCAAGTTCACACACGCACACACACATCCCACACACACACACACACACACACACACACACACACACACACACACACACACACACACACACACACACACACACACACACACGATTTCCTTTACATTTATTTACATTTATTAAAAGTTCAGATATGTATAAAAGATATTTCATAGACTGCTCGGCTCAATACATTTCTGTTTGTTATAATACAGTTTGATACAGGGTAGAAGTGCAAAGGAGTGACACGCCTTCCGTCTGAGGGAGTGATTTATATATTATGTCTGCATGCTGAGACTGGTATGATACAAGTTGACTTTGCAGAGGCGGACGGAGAAGGGCGTGTCCGGTTTCCCCTCACAGTTGAACGCTTTATGCTCCTATGATGGGGCTTAAAAGAATGCTAGTGGCTCACGCTAAGTAGGAACTACCAACTTCCTTAAATTTGTTTTTGTTCCCATAAAACTTTTAAGGAACAATGATTCAACAATGTGACCAGGAACTAAAATTAAAACATTACTAGTTAACTCAATGGTTCAGACTGAGCACTGGATTTTGCACTTCCCTCCCTAAAAACAAACAAAAGACAAGTTAATAATGAAGTGGTAGCTTAATAGGCCTAACAATGTGATATAGAAATGGATAAATAGTTCTGTTCAATGAAAAATGCCACATGATTATGATTCAGTAAAGAATGCCGCCGTCACTCAAATCCTGAATGCATGTGGTAGAATAAAAACCCCATTATGAAATCATACATGATACAATGCCCTCATATTTTCAAACTGTACAACAAAAGATAATCAGCACGTCTTAAAGAAGCTTTACTCAGTCTTAGAGACTTAGTTTGACATTTTGGGAAATACAATTAGTAGATATCTTGCAGGGAATAGCAGAATAGTTTTGTTATGGTTGTATGGTGAATACAAAGCTGTAGCCTGTTAGCTTAGCCAGCCTGTTAGCTTATCTAAGCAACCGGAAACAGGGGGAAACAGAACAATGCTCCAACACAAGAAATATTTCCGGAGTGTAATTGCACAGTGATAAACATCTTCATGGAATAGTTTGGGATTTTAGGAGAATACACATTTTAACTTTGTGGCAGAGAGTACTCTAGGTGCCAGATTCTACAGGTTCTACAGGTGCACCATAGAGAGGATCCTGACCGTTGCAACGCTCTCAACCGTAAGGCTTTACAGAGGGTGGTGAAAACTGCACAGCACATCACCAGGACGGAGCTGCCATCCATGGAGGACCCTTACTCCCAGCGGCTCGGGAAGAAAGCCCTCAGGGTTATCAAAGACCCCCATCACCACAGCCACAAACTGTTCAGTCTGCTGCATCAGGACTAAAACCACCAGGGACAGTTTCATCCCACAGGCCATAAAACTGATGTCTTGTTATTGCACAGTTGAGGAACCAGCGATCTAAGATTTTCAAACATTTCATAACGACACCGTAGTTGTGTATATGTTAGGACAATAAACCTTTGAATCTTGAATTGAGACAGCTACTGCTCCCAGACCAGATGTAGTCCAGTGTTATGCAATAAAACCTCAGAAAAACAGCACGTTTTCACATTTTCCCCTTTGGATTTTCATCAGATTAAATAAAAAAGAAATATGGACGGCATTAACGGAGTTGGTAGGTGGATGTTGTCAGCATAGGGCAGACCTAAGCTAGCAATATACCCATTTACAGTCTTTATGCTAAGCTAACGGCTTCTAGCTTCTAGAACGAGAAGACAAGAGAGTGTTAACAATCTTCTCATTTAACTCCAAATCCAAAAAGCTCCAAAAATACCTTTAACATTTTTTACAGGGCCAAACGATTCTCTTTCAAATTTAAGGCAGAATTAATCTGTGCAAAAAGAGTCAATGAGTCTCTCCTCCTGACACATTTGTCCATCTGTCTCTCAGTAGTCTGACCTTGTCCTCTCACATGTGAGGCAGGAGGTAGAGTGCTCAGAGAAGCTGGTGTGTGGGAAATGAACCTGCTGGTGGTAGCACCGTTTCAGCTTGAATGCTTTGAGGCTCTGGAGAGTACAATACTTGGTTTCATGAGCTTCATGTTCCACTTGGCACGCGTTGCAGATTTACTGAATGTCGTACTTTGTCTCCAGCTCCTCCGCGGCCCAGCCCAGGTGCATCTTCCTCAGTTGGTCCAACAGCTCCTGCAACAAGGGCCAGTGCAGCATTGTTCCTCTTCCTCCTCCTCCTCCTCCTGAACGAGACCCTTTCTCCGCCCAAACCCTCAGCATCTGGTAGTGGGCCTCGCGGCAGGATCTGTGGTCCGCCTCCGCCTGTTCGATCTCTGTGTCCGTCACACCGAGGGTTCGCACCAGCTGCTTCACCTGCAGCACGGGAACCAGATCCAGCACCGTGTAGATCAGCTCAGGGACTGCAGGAGGAGGTGAGAGTTAGCACAATAGGTCAAAACGTGTATTGTCAATCTTTCAGTTTGTGTGTACAGACAGAGAGATCGACTTCCAATTACTATATATAGACTATTCTGCACAGTCATCATATTCTGATTCTATTATATTCGATTGTATTTACTCACACAATTTTATCTGTGTTATTGTGTTGCACTGTGGGAGGAGCCTGTGACCTAAGATGTTCATTGTCATAACTACACTGTAGCTATGCACACATGAGAATAAAAGCCTTGAAACTTGAAAATACTGTTTCCCACAATCCCGAATACAAAAATATATAAAAATATGTATACAAATATGTATAAACCTGTGTACACACAATCAACAGACACATTTATACACACATTAAGACTTAAATAAAAGCACAACAGTCACTTCAATATCTTTGAGGAATGTACATTAGTGCAAGACTGTCCATAGCAGCGTAACAAGGTGTCTGTATTTCTGTATGTTGGACAGAAGCATGCAGTGTGAACTAAGTAAGTACGTTTTTCACAGACAAAGTCACAAAGTGCTTGAGAAAACATTAAACCATCATAGGAATCATAAAAGAATAAATGACCACACAAGCCACGTGTTAAGAAGTGCTGAAAACACAATTATAACTCCACTCACTCTTGACTTCCAGCGGGACGCAGTCGGGCAGATTGGGCGGCTCCTGGTCACTCACAGCACTTAGAGGGAGAGCCCTATCACTCTGGATATCTGCAGACTCAATGAGGGTCAGGAATTGCTATGAAACACAAACAAAATGTAATGTTATCGACTGTTTGTGTACGTCCAGCAGAGGTGAAGTACTCACATGTTTAACTTAACTAAAAGAAGCAAGAGAACAGTTTGAAAATGCAAATAAAGTCTCGATTTTGAAGTATTAGTAATAAAAGAACTTAGATATTAGCATTGAAATAAACTCTATATACTGTAAGTACTCAACGTAAAAGTGCTCTCCATGCCGTTAGGCTCGTTTTAGGGATAGTATTTAGATAATACCACATGATTTAAATTAATCAGAAGCAGAGTACTTAGGGTTTCGGGACATTTGCTCCATTTAAAAATGAACAAAAATATATAAAGAATTTGCATAAAAACACTTATATAACATAAGAAGCTAAAGTAAACATGTGCAATAAAAAAAGACAAATAAAGATATTTATTTAAACATAATAAATGAAAGTAAGAATATGCTGACGGGGAGTTAAGGACGTGTCATTGTGATATGTTAATGTTGCAGCTGGTAAAGTTGATTGCTTTATAAATACTGCTGGGTGCCATACCATCATTTCTATGTTGATTGACATTTTGTAATAATAATCTAAATCTGCAAAGTAATTTGTAAGTATAAAGTTCAATGATGGCTTCCACAATGTGATGAAGTAGAAATTGAGGGAAATACTCAATTGTTTGTACTTTACAAGTCCAGCACCTAAAGTACTTATTTACACTCAACCATTGCATATTAAAGTAACCACGGTTAGATCGTTGTACC